GCATCTGACTTTTAAAAGTCATTGTATTATTTGTTTCTAGACCAAACATTAAAGATAGGCAGGGATGTGAGGCCCGAGAAGCAATTGCTCCTGGAATGTCTGCGTCTAATTCTCCCAAGTGATGGCGCAACTCAAAATAAAAGTAGAGATGCACCCAACCTGCGGCTGTTAAGGCGTATACCTGGCAGGGACAAGTTCTAAGCCTTCCTTAGAGTACTCAGTTCTAAGGAAAAAGGATGAGGTATGTGGCTGGGCTTAGGATCTAAGGGTCTCCCAAGTGACCTGCCCAGTTATTACAGGCTAGTATTTCTATCTGTTTTAATGTACCACAGAGCAGGACAAGAGTAAAACTGAAGGATGTGGGGGTGGGGGAGAAGATGTTCAATGGATTTGCAACTTAAACAGACATCTTCAAAGGAAAGCTATTAAATCCGAGGTGTTGCTGATATTAATTATCCTGAACATCTCACAGGCTCAGATTCACATGCTATAAAGAACACAAGGCCTTTTAATTTCCCTACCTGGCCCTGGCACGAGCAGCGATAAATCAGATATACAGAGAAACCACACATGACTAACGAACCAGCCCATTAATGGGGAGCAAAGAGCATTTGCCAAGATGACTTACTCAGACACAGCCACATATCATTACCAGCAATACCCTGGGGGCTTAAGGCAGCAGGTACGGGAGTCAAGAGCCTGGGCACTCCCTGCCAAATCGCAGGCACTTCAGGACAACTCGGGCATCCTGCAGACGCCTGTTATCCGGGCCTGAGAGATTTTACTCATGGCTGCCCCTCCCTACTCTCGTCAAGTTAAACTTGCACTTGGGAAATTACTGCAACTTCTAAAAGACCTCTTGGGACATGGAGCTGCTAAGCCCCCAAACCTTGCTGTGGGCTCCTACTCTTGAGACTCAGAATTAGGTATCCTAGGAGGAAGGACCAGCCTCTGCCACCAGAAACCTTAACTGCTAGTTTATAGATCTTTACTGTGGCCACTCATTCAGGTATCTGAGCCAGCTAGGTGTCACACCTTATTCTAGGTCTTGGGTGGATCAGATCCATAAAGAAAACAGTAAACAGGTAGGAGCAAGGGAGAAGTAAGAACCTTCTAAATGCCAGTCTGTTCGTTTTACCATGAAAACTGAGGTGCAGTGATCAATAGGAATTTCCCCCTTAGGTTGGAGCTGATGGTGTGGCTGGGACTTGAACCCAGGTTGGATTCTTTATGTAGAACTGCCACATACAGTGGTGTGTGAGGGCAGAGGGGATAGGATGAGGGTGAACTTTAATCCACATTCTTCATGTGGGCTAGCTGCACTCCAGTGCTGTGTCCTCACTGTCCCAGATACTGCACTGTCCCAATCCCCTTTAATAAAAGCCCCTTTCCCTGGAAGGGACAACTGAGGTTCCCCAGAGCACTACCAACCATCACTGATAGGAACCAGGAGAGTCTGAACCCTTTCATTGGGATGTAATCCTGACAAGCTATATACTCCCAACTCTTATCATGAGTGAAAAGAGTCTGTTGAACTTAAATCCATCAGAAATCTGCCTATGGCCAAGGTCTCTATAATAATTTTAATAATAATTTCCTATACTACCATCAGATATGAAAGGGAAGAATGTTAGCCATTTTCCATCATCTCCAACCCTTTACTCTTCATGATCCCAAGCTGAGAACCTGTCACTGTTCAACCCCACATCTAAAACCCAGTATGGGTGATAGGGATAATTAACTTAACTCCGTAAATACCTATTCTTGACTAGGTGCTAAGGATACAGCAATGAACACCATCAACGGTAGCACACTGCTGTCCCTGACGTCGTGGAACTAAGACACGTTGAAGGCAGAGCTGGGGAAAGCCCATCTGCTGTGAAGTTCCTGAGCAGACTGGCAGTCTGCTTAGAGGCCAGGTCCAGAAGCAAGAGTGTGTGTGACCGGTCTATTCTCCCCTCTCTCACCCCCTTTTACAGAAGGGAAAATGAAGTCCAGGAAGGAGAGGATGTAACTTTCCCTGAGTCTGACAGCTTGACAGTTGAGCTAAACTGTCGAACCCATGTTCTCTGGGTCTCCCCTTTCCACCACATCGCCTCCTAAAGTTCTAACACAGCGAAGTGAGGAGAAATCGTTGGTTCTAGTGACAGATTGCTTCCTGATGCATAAACACCCAGAACATGCAGCTCCAACCCAGCTTATCAGCACAGACCCAGTGTCCATGTTCATCCCTCAAACTAGAATGTTGATAAATATACCTCGTCCATCTAGAGCCTAGGTGTTCAGTCTTCATTCACTCTCATTTATCACTCTCTCTGACTCTCTCTTGGTGTTTACTTTCACTTTAAAAAACCTCATCTTATAAGAACAGAGCCCTTTTTATCTGATGCCAGCTCCCCCTCTGCTCCTGGGGTCTAATCAATCCATGTCTGGAAATAAACAAGCCAGAGAGGAAAGCAACAGTCCCTTTTATTAAAACAGGCACCTTTCGGAAATGATCCACCCTTGGGCATGGCACAGATAGACATTTAAATGAGGAAGAAATAAAGACATTCTCCAGCAATAACCACATGCATTCCCCAGCAGGTGGGACACCAGGGAAGGTAACTCTGGCTTAAGAGATAAACCAAAAACTCCGCCCCACATTACTCAGGTTGTTTGGGAGGGTGAGGGGGGTTGAGGTCCAAATTCAGGAAGCCTGAAGAGGCAACAGGCTTCAAAACATAACAGTCTATATAGTCCAGGCCTCTCCATTCTGAGGAGCTTAACATCTTCAAGATAGTAAGAGAAGGCTCATTAAACTTCGACTTTAGGTACATGCAAGTAGGCCTCCAGCTACTACTGGGGTACACAGATGCCAGAGAGAAAAACCCAGACATCTGGCACCCAACATGGACCTCCACCCATCATGTTATTTCACAGCCGCCCACAAAGCACAGTTTCCACAGTTCTCAACTCCCACCGCCCTCCAGCCACCGCAGCCTCTGCCAGCAAGGGGGCTGTCTTTGTACAGAAGGGCAACACCAAATCCCCACTAGCCAGTCTGCCACGACGCCCAAACCCAGGCTTTCAGAAATGGGTCACATACGCAGAAACAAATGCAGAAAGCACCTCTTCTGGAAGAGCACAGTAGTTAATTCTTAATCCTTTGGAGATCCTTTTGAAAATGTATGGCAGCCCTGGACACCCCATGAAAAACTGCATCCATGCAGATCATATGTGATTTCACGGGGGGGTTGCTACCCTCTGAGAAGGTCTGCTGGGCAGAAAGGGAGATTTGTGAAAGAGAGCTGTGGGTGGCCCGGGTGAGTATTCAACAACAGTTTCTTAACCAAAAAGATGCCCCTTCCTTAGTTACTGCAACCTTTAATTAACCTTTGAGATAACAACAAGAATTTGGAAGTTGAGAGCGAGTGTTTGCCCACACACACACACACACACACACACACACACACAAAACAAGGCCTCATCTTGTCTTCCTGTCTTGAAGTCACAAAATGTCCTGTGATTGCTAGTTAACAGTTTCCAAGCAGGGCTGAGTAACTGTAGAGATGAAAAGTGGGGGAAAGGCCCTGGCCAGATAGCTCAGTTGGTTGGAGCATCATCCTGATACGCCAAGGTTGCAGGTTCGATCTCTGGTCAGGGAACATACAGGAATCAACCAGTAAATACATAAATAAAAGAAACAGCAAATCCTCTCTCCCTCCCTCTCTCTCTCTCTGTCCCTTCTTCTCTCCCTCCCCCCTTCCTTCTCTCTAAAATCAATAAAAAAAAATTTTTTAAGCTAAAAAAACTAAACAAAAAAAAAAAACAAGAAGTGGGGGAAAGGTGGCAGTTGGGAGGGAGGATAGCCTGACAAAGAGAGGACAACTGAGCTCTCCATTGGCTGCGTAGGTCTTGCCTGGCAGGGCAGGTCCTGACCCTCATTGCCTGATCCTCCTGGAAATCACAGCAAACCTGCTGACTCCTTTGCAGCAAACTGAGAAGTCCAGAGAGAAGCAGCCCTTTCTCCCTCGGTCCCTGTAGGGGGTTGGGGGAGCCTCTCTCCTTCCTAGGGAGAAGACCCTCACCCACGGCTTGCCCACAGCCCCCTCGTGGCCTGGGGGTGTTACTGCAGCCTCTCTGCATTGCTGAGCACAAACCTCTCACCCAGACAGTTCTGACAGTGGTAGAGCAGAATATTTAGGTTCCAGTGGCAGCTTGGCAACAGTTTCAAGCCATGGTGAAGCTGTGTTTGCTTTTGATTTCTTAAACTAAGACTAAGATTCAGAGTCAAAGTGATCCTTCTAAACTCCTCCCTGGTACAATACCTACAGGGACCAAGTCCAAGACCTGCTTCAGTAAGCCAATAACCTTGAAGCTTCTGTAACGTTACCACCACCTTACTGATCATTTCTTTCTGCATCACATGCAATTAGGTGCAACTCTTCCAAAGCTCAATAGAAATAGTTAACAAGAACGCACAACATCCTCTAGTTTATAGATGGGCTACAAAAGACTTGTAGGGCACCAAATGCCCCTCCCCTCCCCCCAAATCCTGGGTTTTCAGGTAGCAGAGCCTACAGGGGTTTGGGGGAAGTCAGGATTTAAGGACACACAGTGAGAAAGAACATGGCCCTTGGCCCGGTGCAAGCAGATAGGGTGCCTGTTGAAGAACTTTGCTAGAGACTGCACAAAACTCTTGCTAACAACTACACAAAAGGAAGGAGTGGAGCCCACCCTCCTGGTCTGGGACTGGACTGAAAGACCAGTCTGGGGGTGGGGGAAAGTTGGTCTAGTGGTTCAGCTACCACCTCTCAGGGGCGGGGATGATTAATGGAACCCAGTGGTGGGAAAGTGAGCAGGGAGGAATAAAGGTGGGAAGTTTGGGAGGAGAAAAGAGGGTACAGAGTGTGCCCAGGGGGCTTAGAGTAGACCAGGGATCAGGAGTGACTGGGGCCAGGGGAAGTGATGGAAGCACAAGAGGCTCTTTTCTTTTGGGGGTGGGGAGAAGTCCTTACCTCCTTGATTTTCTCCCGCTGGGTTTGAACTAGGCTCTGAGGCTCCTCACTCTCATCAGTTGTAGTCCCCAGGACCGGGTGGCGGAGGCGGCTCCTGAACGCGTTGAAGTCAAAGCTAAATGGAATGCTCCCCTCCTGGGGTCTGAGGGCCTCGCCACCGCTGCTCCGGGGCTCCGTGGCCTCCTCCCGTGGCCTGGTGGGGTGGGTACGCCGCAGCCACCCTTTCCTGCTACGGGTACTGGCTTGACTGTTGGGGTCATCCTTGCCCGGGGCTGGCGCAGCGGGGGCCGGCTTAGGGGGCGACTCCTGCTCTCGGGCCGAGGGTTGGCCGGGGACGTCGGCAACTACCTCCAGGCCGGGATGCTGGGTCCGGGGCGCCAGGAAGAGGCGCTTGAGGCGAGAGGAGTTGGGCAGTAGGAAGAGGGCCCCGAAGCACAGGGTGGCGAGGCCTGAGAGGAAGAGAAGGAAAAGGAACTTCTGCGGCAAACGCAGCCCCCACGGGGAGGCCGGGACGAAGCCGGGCACTTTCCTCATGAGCATCCTGGCTTGGCACAGGACTGGGGACGGTCAGCTCCAGCCGGGTCCCTGAGGCTCTCAGAGTCTAGGCACTTGTCAGCAGAGGCCTCGGCTAGGGGAGGTCGTCGAGGGGCGCCGTCCGGGGTGGCAGGGGTCTCTGAGAGTTTCTGCCGGTTTAGTACTGCCTCTAAAGGATGAACTTCCTTCAGAGTTTGGAGCGAGTCTTCCCACGCCGAGGCGGGGGCGCAGCGGCCTTGGCGGGGCCCGGGCGAGCCGGGTGGCACGGCTCAGGGCCCGGGCCCGCAAGGGCTGGCCGCGCAGCTCTTCCTCGCAGCGGCCGGAGCCCACGGGGCCCGCGCCTTCCCGCGCTGCGGCCGTTGCTGGGTTTGTCACATGCCGTCCGCGGTACCGGGGCTGTCGATGCAGAGGGGTGCCCACAGGCCTCGTCCCCGAGCCGAGCCGCCTTCAGCCTTTGGCCCAAAGTTTCAGCCTCAGAAGCAGTTCCCAGAGGGAGCAGACTCGCGGGGGAGGCAAGGCAGTTGCAGGGCCGGTGTGTCAGCGGCCGGTGTGTCAGCGGCGCTCTGAGAGCGCGTTGACCCAGCCAGATCGCGACAGCACCCGGACTCGGCTATCTGGACACGTCCACAACTTTGTCCCTCCGCGGAGCGAGCGCCAGGCAGCGGGAGCTGACACTTCTGAGCCTGCCGGGGCAGAGGGCTTCCTGGGTGCCCGTGAGCGCAGGGATGCCCGAGCCTGAGTCCGGAGCCGGGGGCCGACCACGATCAGCCACAGCGGGGTGGCTGCAGCTGCGCCTGGGAGTGAGGGTTCTCGCCCTGCCAACTCGGGAGGGCTCCGGTTCCCGCTGGGATCACCTGTTCCCGGCGACCACCGGCTCCGCGGAGCGCGTAGCCCCGGCTGCGGCTCTTCCGCTGCAGTTGGCGTCTTCACAGCGGCCGCTCCAGACGGGCCAGTGCCGCTGCAGGCTGAACCGCCGCCACTGCTGAGCCTGCGTCCCACGCGTACAACCACCCCGCCGCCTCCACCGCCTCTGCCGCCTCCGCCGCCTCAGCTCCGCCGCCGCAGCCTGGCTTTCACTGAGACAGCGCCCGTGGCTCCGCCTCCCACCGGGCCACGCCCTCAGGCCACGCCCACTGCGCCCCCACGGTCCACCTCCGCGGCGCCGCAGCCAGGCCAATGGCCTCACGTCTGTGGATAGGGAGTGTGGGGCCTCTGTGAGGGCGAAGAGAGGGAACTGGACTCCAAGCCACGCCCCCTCCCTCAAATAGCCAGCACAGTGCACACTCCCCCCATCCCATCAGCACCAATGGTCCAGCTGCGCGGGGGGTTGGCGAGGGCGGTGTGGGGAGCGGAGGGAGGTCATTGGCTGTCTTGGAGGGATCCTTGTGGGGCCGCAGTAGCCCATTGGTTAGTATCCAGCGTTCGCTGGCCTGGAAGCGACTAAAACCCCCCTCCGCCCCCCCGCCCCGCCCCCTGCCCCCTGCCCCCGCCCGCACCACTCTGGTTGTTCATCCCTCTGTTGTTGGTCCCTCGCGGGCAGCAGACCTGGCTAGACTGGAGGGCCCCGGTCATTGTTAGGTAACCTCTCTCACCTCTCAGTGTCAGTCCAGGGTTGGCAGGGTGCTGGGGGCCTGCCCAGGAGTCTCCAGAGCTTCTACAAGAGCCGCGGAGGTGCTGTCGTGACAGGCTGTGAGGAAGGGGTGGCCGGAGCCAAGCCAGGGAACTGTGGCCAGGGTTGGGTCTGGTTAAGACAGTGTGTTGAGTGGAGCCCCGCAGACCACTGCTCTGCTTTCCTTTACCATCAGCCCAAAACCTGGCCAGGACCCCTGGGTCGGGCAGGGAGAGATGCTAACTGCAAAGGTAGGAGGGCAAGAAAGGAGAGGACCCTGGCTGTGTGCACACAAGATCACACACATGTGGCATGGGTTCCTAGGTGCCTGCATGTGTTTATGCGCACTTGTGCGATCCTCTGCATAGATATATATGCACTCACAGATTGCGTGTGGGTGTGTACTTGCACACAAGCATACACTTAATTTAGGTGTGGACACTTAGTGATTATACCAAAGCATGAATAGATATATACACATCAGCTCAAATATTGGCATGTGCACTCATATATCCACAGATGCACAACAGGCAGGCCCCAAAACATGCACATGTACGCACCACCCAGACTCGTGTGTCTTGACCTCAAAGCCCTCATTCTTTCCTCCTTGCACTTAAGTCTCTCTCTGTCTTTTCTTCCTGTTAGGAAGGAAAACCCAAGGCAAAGCAACATTGTGCTGTGTGGGTCTTTCATGCAAAACACTTTTATAGAGACAAATAACAGCAGAGGGAGAAACAAATTAAGAGGTGTAATAGGCAAGAGGGAAAATATCTGCTTTCAGCTGCAATTTAAAATGAAATGCAGCATTGACAAGACAGAAAATACTGCAGGGGGGACTTTCCTGACAGAAGAGTCGGCCCAGGCGACTCTCACCTCGTAAATCTTGCTTCTTCCCTGAGGCCTGCTACCGATGGGCTTTTGGGACTCAGATATCCTTATACCTCTGGTCAGGCCACTGACAGCAGACCCTCCCCGGATATTTAAATACCCTTGGCATATAAATCTCTTTCAGTTGAAAATAAAAAGCTAGTCTGGGTAACAGGTGCAAATAATTTGGCCGTTGGGTTGAATAACCCCTCCCAACCCCAGAAGTTCTAATTCAGATGTTTCAGTAATGAGTTTGATTGGCAGGAGTCAGTTCCCTGGTCCCCTCAGAGACAAGGATGTGATCCACTTGGATACAGGAGCCCAGACACCTGGCCTGGCCTCTCCTGATCCCCACTGCCTAAGCATCTTCTCACTCTGAAAGGGGCAGGCCTGTGTCTGGAGAACCAGGCAGGAACTCAGCATTCTTTAGAGGCACCTTGCCTTGTTCCAAATCAAAAGAGTTGGGGAGTCACTGTTCAGTCCCTTGAGAAGCTAGGACCCAGGAGAAAGGGAGGAAGGCAAGGCTGAGCCTCAGAAGGACTTGTCTGTCTGAACTGGATGCTCACAGTGATGGTGACACCTGGACCAATCTGTGGTATGCTGGTGATCAGGGTGAAAGCGGGGCTGCAGCAGGACTAACATGCCTTCCACACACTCAGGCTATAAAAACCAGAGCCCCGAGGAGACAACTCCATTTCCAACCAATATCATTGGGTGATTACACTGAGTTGGTAGTACCCACACCTTTACAATCTCCCCAGCAAGCTCACTGAAACTCTGGAGGTGCCTATCCCATTTCCACACTCCTAGACCCCACAGACCTTACACATACCTCGGCTCTTTTCTCACTGGATTTCTACTGTTGATGTGTGTCCCACAGCAGACACCGAATTCTTCATGGCGGGGACCATGGCTCGTTCACCTCTCTCACTGCCCTAGCTCTTAACTACAGTGCCTTGCATGTGGGCACAATATTTGGTTAGTAATGAACTAATGAATGGACGCCCATTTCACAAGGGAGGAAACTGAGGCTCAGGAAGGGGAATAATAGTGAACTGACATTTTCTATGTATCAAGCATATTGCTTCATTTATTTTTCAGGATAATCTTATGAGGCACATACTATTCATAGCTTCATTTTACACATAAGAACATTAAGGCTCAGAGAGATTAAGAGTCAGTTAACAAATACCTTTCTCAATTTAATTCAGAAACTCAAAAGGGACTGGGCACAGAAATGAAAGCTATTTTAAAAATCTATTTATTCTGTCAACAAACATTTATTGACATTAGATGCTAAGTATCACACTAGTCTCGGGAGGACACAATGATGAGCAAGGCATGGTCCCTGTCATTGTTGATTCATCCATTTATTTAGTGAAGTACTCTTTATCGAACACCTATTATGTGCCATTTACAGAGGGGCTGGCATAACAGCCCTAAATAAGGCAGACATGAAGCCGATCTTCAGGGAATTGCTTGTCTAAAGGCAACAGGGACGGATTCAGCCTGTCGGGAAGGGAACCCCAGCACTGGGCCCTAGCCCAGGTCCTCCTCTCTCATCCTATCTCACCCTCACAATGGTCCTCCCTGAAGTCGGCCTTGAGACCCCAAATTAACAGATGGGGAAACTGAGGTTCCCGAGCATGACATGACCTGTTGAAAGACACACAGAGAATAAATGATAAATCTGAGAGAAAACCACATTCGTCTAACCCCGGAATCTATGCTTTTTCTGTTAATAATATTAATAATAACTAAGGTTAATGGGGCACTCACTAGGTGTGAAACCCTCATACAAACATGGTATAGAATCTTATTTATCTGATCCTTACAACCACCCCATGAGGCAGGTACTATTATTGCTGACATTTTACAGGAGAGGAAACTAAAACAAAGACGTTAAGGACCTTGCCTGATGTCACACAGAAGAGAAGTGCCAGAGGGGGGATCATGAACCCAGTTGGTCAGGCTCCAGAGCCCCTTCTGTCTTTCCGAGTCTATCGAGTCTATCGCTCTGCACCTTTTAACACCACGAGAGCAGGTGCTGCAGGAGGTCAGGGTGGGGGAAAGAGCACACTCGCCCCAGGTGAAATCACCACAGGCTTGTTGGATTGTATGAGCTCATTCAGTCAGTCAACAAGGATGTATAAAGCTATGTTCCAGGCAATACACTAGGCTTTAAGGAGATAATGGTGAGCAAAAATAGATACTTTGTTTCTATTGCAGAGCTTAAAGTTTCATGGGGAAGAGGAGTTAAAACAAATAAGCAAACCTCCAAATAAGTATGCAAGCTGAGATAAGCGAGGAAAGAGAATGAAATGCTGCTATAATAACATGTAACACCGGATCTGGACCCAGACTTGGACTGGCTGAGAAGTGGTCAGGGAAGACACCCCTAAGGATGAGTGGAGTTACCTAAGCTAAGAGAGATTGAACACCCAGGTTGAGGGGAGCGAATATGCAAAGGCCCTAGGGTGGGGGGTGGGGGAGGAACATGATGCTTTAGAGAACAGACAAGCCAGGACATCTGCAGTCGAGAGAATGACGGGAAAGAGGAAATGTCACTGAATGATTTAGGGCAGGAGTGTAGG